TTTGGACAACAGTACATTTTACCATCATTAAGTACACACAACAAAATTTGCCTTCATTGACTCCTCTTAGTGCTGTAATTCAAGGACCATTTGTAGAAGACTGTCCACTACCTAGTGTTTAACCAACAGTCCTCTGGATAGTACCTGTTCATTGTGAGCATCTGCTACATCACAGAAAGAAAGCACGGGCTATCTATACCCTCAGGATGCATGTGGCCATTATTCCCCTGTTGTCCTGCTATGGACACCAAATGTTACACAGCATGATTATGGGGTACAACTTCTTCAAACGATCCAAGCAAGGGACTGCAGCAATATAATATTTTTAAATGTCCTGGTGAGTACCATTTTTAATGGGCACATAGTACTTGTACATTTGGATATGAATGACATAACTCCAGCAAAGCCAGTCTAACACAGAGCTAAGACCTCATCACGCCATTGTTATTCAAGAAGCCATTAACTCAGAGCAGCTGGTGGACTGCAACTTAAAGAGGTATACAGTGCAAAATGCTTTGAAGCAACTCCTTCTATACACATGTCACAGTAGTGTTAATTATTTGAAAGCAAGAGTTTGAGTTTGTGCATGACAGAGCATCAGTGTTCATTCAACATATTCCTTACATACTGAGGTTACTCTATCACACAGACACATCAAGCTACCTCTCCCTTCTTTCCCCTCTCCTTTTCCTTTCTAATTGCTTTCTCCACTATACCTCACCTCCATCTCCAGAAGCAATGCCTGGAATCGTGCCCAAACTTGCACACTGGGCATGTGCTGTATCACTAAGCTATTCTCCCAGAATAGGTCATCCTCCTGTAGTACATGCTATTTGCCTTTTTGATATTAAGTGTGGGAACTTAAAGTGCACATCTGGCTTCCTGTTTTGCGTATAAACTAATGATGAGACTGACTGTACCAGAGATGATCTGGGAACACATGCTGAACTTAGATGCTAGAATTTCAACTGAGGGTGATAAAGAAATCAGATTTTTTTGAGACCCAGCTTCTACCAATAGAAACATAGTAATTAAAAACAGGAAACCCACCAATAACTTGTTTTCTACCAAGAAATCTTCTTAACATGTATGTAAAAGACAGGTAAAGAAACATGAACCCTCAGGTGACTACTCCTGGGAACAAATCCTGGAGACCACATCTGGGGCCCACTCCAGGGATACTCTTGGAGTCTACTCTTAGAGCATAGTATATGGTCTACTGAAGACTACTCATGGGGCCAACTCATGAGGTTTATTTTTGAGAACTTATGCTGGGAAACACTACTGGGGTCTAGCCTGGAGACCACTCCTGGGACCTAACTCTGGGGCCCACTCCAGAGGCCATCTCCAGGGGTCTAGTCTTGGGGAATACCCCTGTAGTCTACGGGAGACCACTTCTGGAATTTACCTGGTGGTGACATTGTGTTTATGAGTTAAAAAACAAAGCTTGCCTGAACTTCAGAGTGCAAAGCTAGCCACACTAGTCAGCCATACAGGCCACACACTGCAGTCACACTGAGGATAGGATCACCCCAGCCTTGCTATAGGTAAGAAGTGCTTAGTGGTTGGCTGTTTTGCTTTTCTTATCTTCAGCTTGAACCCCAATATCTGTCTCTGGGTTTTTATTATTTGTGCTACATACTTGAGGAGACTACTCCTTGGGTTAAATCCTAGGGATTATTCCTGGAGACTATTCCTGAGGTCTACTCCCTGTGTCTACTCCTGGCCTCCACTCCTCAGGACTACTCCTGGGGCCCACTCACTGTGCTGGCAAAGCTGCTTCACTGAGTCTGGCCTGCTAAATCTTCTTTGGGGACCTCATCTTCACTGTGAGTTAGATCATGATTTGCTATTTTTAATCTCCTGAACTACCAAGATATTAAAGTATTAGATATTTTTAAAAGAAATGGTAACACTCTGTTTTCATCTTGGAGAAGACCATGATCAACACATGAAATACCCCCAAGGAATGAAACCAGTGGAATTTAATAAAAGTATGCATATGAATGGCAAATATATCTTCTAGATATTGTGAATAAAGGTCAGCCACTGTCTATTCCACTCTAAATGAAAAAAATGGAAATTTTCATAGAATCAAATTCTTGGAGAAGATTAGAAGTGGTCTAATACAGCCATTTTACATACAAATGAGGCTATGCACATTGTATGTAAAAGGAAAACCACTACAAGCCAAGCCACAACACCTAAGCACTCTTCTTTTCTCAGTATTTCTTGCAAAAAGGTTGAGCTTCACTACTGTTGATAATAAAATTATCAAAACATTTTATTGCCACCTCTTAGGATTCTGAATTGAATGTCTGGCATGGCAAAACCTCTGAGAAGAAAAAGAGGCTATATATGGTGTTCAATTCTAACAACTTTTCCCTGAATATCATATTAGGTTTTGGTGACTGCAGTAGGACATAGGCATATAGGCAACCTTTTCACTCACCGTGGCTAGGTATAACTAGATAATGACAAAAGTCTGGTGATACAGAAAGAAAATAATCTAATATGCTGAAAATGGATAAGCCATCCATAGCTATAATTCTGAGACAGTAAAGAAAAATATAAATATAGGCAAAATGGAGGAAACAAGATGGACTTGTAAGTCACATAACAATTAGCAAATCTATATATGCTGTGTGTCTGTGTCCTGTGTATGTATGTAAATATGAACTGTATAGCCATTTATATAGTTATTACATTTTGAACTATATCATGCAGATTAAACCCACATACTGTGAAAAATATGCTCACTAACCAAGAATATGAACCCCAGCCTCTGGGTCTTATATAGCCCAGAGGCCTTGTCCTTAAGCATCCCTTCATAATATGGACCAAATATCAGTAACCCATGCTATGTAATGCAGCAGGCACATGAATTATAGAACCTTATAATACTTATTTTCCACCATTCCCCGTAGAGGATATACAGTGAAATTTGTACAAGTTAACTGAATCCTGATATGGTTTCATTATGTCTTTACTTAGGTGAGAAGAGGATGCTGGTAGCTCATCAGTATAACCTCAAATGACATGTTTCAATTCATACTAAGCAACCACGATCATGACTCATGATCTGCCCCCCCCAATAATAAATGAAAATAACCAAGCAACAAAGTAAGGAATTTTTAAAAACATGCTGTAGTATTTAAGAGAAAGAAAGCAGGTTTTCATTTATGCAGATATTTATTCCCAGTGCATTAAAAACAGTTTGGGTGAAGTTCAAAGACACGTAGGAACAAGCATGGTGGGTAGATCAAGGAAAGGACCCCCTCTTCCCCCAGCACACTGTGGTCAGAGTCTGAATCGTGACAACCCAAACACTTGTTGGAACCTTTTTGTAAAGACTCCAGTCACCACTTTGGCACAACCATTCAGAGGGGACACAATCTCTTCTTACCTGTAAAGCTACTGTTCATTTCAGGTACATCATCTTCCTCCTCATTCTCTGTGTGGACTATGCCAGCATTTTGCATATCATTGTAGGACTTTGTTCGCTTAGGGGTCGACTGCTTGGAGCCAGACTGAAGGCTGTGCAAGGCATCCGTCGTGATCACTTTCCCACTGACTGGCTGGCTGGGAGGTTTGGGTGTCCCATAATAGTTTCCTAGGTGATGGAGAGACACATTTGCATGTTTCAAAATGAAGACTTTTTTTTTTTCAGCCCCAAGAACTCACATCCAAATCTCTTAGAGCATTAAAAAATGTAGCTGGAAAGCTAGAACATTCTGTATTTCATTTCCAGAATGGGTTAGCAAAGACATCTTTTCTATCTAGCTAGTTACAGGGTTACAGAAAGGAAAAGGAAAGCCACATGGTTTTGATGCAAAGAAGCTAGAGTGAAAACAAAAGTGGCTGTGCTGAATAGAGGCGCTTCATTGTCATTACATTTGAATTTCAATTGGTCATCTTTTTATATAGGCGACCGCATAAGGCTGAATAGGATTAAGAGTGAGTCTCACAGAAGATAAAATTCATTACTGCCAAGATCCTCCCAGGCCTCAAAGGTCGGGGTCTCTGTCTCTCTTCATGAGGGACCCAAGGCACTTCTGTAAAAGAAGGGCAGCAAGCACCACGTGGCACCTCTTAAACTGAATGGCAGGGTTGACTATAGGGGTCATGCAGGTGGGAAGAAATCCTTGCCACGTTTTAACAGAAAACTGTTTCACTGGTGCCCCCTGGGGGAAATCGGTCTTCCTTCTCTTCCAGCCATCTTCAATTCCCCCATGTTTGGTATGGGTCTCACTATCATCTGCTATGCAATGATGAATGATACATGAATTGGATACTTTCTGAGGTTTATTTTTTTTTGAGACAGAGCTTCTCTGTGTAACAGTCCTGGCTGTCCTGGAACTTGCTTTGTAGACCAGGCTAGTCTCAAATTCACAGAGATCCACCTGCCTCTCTCTCTTGAGTGCTGGGATCAAAGTAATTCCTGGCAAGGTAGATAGCTTAATATTTAGAAATGTGTATTCTATTTTCATTTGCATGTTTGTTCGTATGTGTGCATATACATATACATACATAAAAGTATGTGTACTTTCATACATGTCTACAAGTACCATATATAAAACAGAGTGGTCAACCTTAGGTGTCTTCCTTAAACACCATTCACATTCATTTTTGAGGCAGGGACTCTCCTTGTCTTGAAGTTTGCTGATTTAGCTAGACTAGCTGACCAGTGAGGCCCTACCCATCAATGTCCTTCTCCCCAGAACTGAGATTACAAGCACACCCTAGTACACCATACTCTTTTATGTGGGTTCTGAAGTTAAACAAGGTTAAACTCAGGTCTTGATACTTACGCGACAAACACATTACCAACTATGTGCCTAGTCCTAGATATGTATATTTTTAAAATATTAATTTGGTATAATTACTAAATTCTAACTAATAAGTTCAATGAACTTTCAAAACGAAAAACAGTACTTTAAAAAAAAAAAAGGTTTACTTTTAACCACATGCCCTATTTTTCATAATGGAAAGTTAATCAAGTGCTCCCTTTGACAACACTTATACTAACACTGGAAGAATATAGAGAAGATATGCATGGCTGCTGTGCAAGGATGACATGAAGCCACAATTTACTTAAGCAATATTAAGGTGGCTTAATGACAACACCAGCTGACATGCCAATGGGGATGGGAAATTTCACAAAACCACACCTCTAGATAAACAGCCACAGTCAACCAATGGCTGTTGAAGGAGGGAGATTTGGTTTTCTCCAACTCCAAGTGGTCAGCTCTAAACACATATACATATGAGCAACCCTAAATGAACTTAGCAGTTTGTGTGTGTATATGTAACAGTAACAAGCCAAGTCATGAGAATGAGACAGAATGGGAGTCATGGCTGGAATTTAAGGGAGGTTAGGGGTTGTAAACGGTCTAAATACAGTACTCATGCATGAATTCCTCAGAAGCTCAAAGATAAATAAAAAAAAATCGAAAATTTAAATGAGGTGGGTGGTAGTGGCACACACCTTTAATCCCAGCACTTGGGAGGCAGAGGCAGGAAGATCTGTGAGTTCCAGAACAGCCAGAGCTGTTACACAGAGAAAGGAATAGGTAAAAGGGAAAGCCTGGTGAAAAGCACATTCTCTGTCAGTGCACCCACCCTACTGGTTATCAAATACACTTTCCAAATCTAGCTTAGTCTAAAGTACTCAAGAATTTTTTTCATATTGGGACATGCCTCTTAAAGTTTCATTTAAGACAATATCAAAATCACTTGCTTTTAAACATAAATTTGTAGGAGGAAATTATCGCTATTATCATTATTTCTTCCACTCACTGATTTCTATTACATTTTATGGAGCACCTGCTTCCCTGAGGTGTGGTTTTATTGGGGGTTGGGGATGGGGGAATGAAAGCATGGTTTGGTTTCATGTAGCCAAGGCTAGGCTGGTCTGCTGCCTTTGTTTCTTGGGGAATGAACTGCCACGATTTTTATGCTTGTTGGGATTCCACTCAAGAGCTCCAAGCATACTAGTCAACCTCTCTGGCAACTAAGCTATTTCTCTAGCCTCACAGTTATTTTTTTTTCTTTTTTTTTGGAAAGGAAGGTTTAATAATAATTTAGAAGAGACATCAGAAATTTAACATTTTCTTTGTGTATGTCTACTTATGTGTGCTGTGCTTGTTTGTGTGGATGCCCGTGGAAGCCAGAGAGAGCATGAGAACCTCCTGGACCTGTAGTTATACAGGATTGTGTTCTGTCCAATGTGGGTTCTGGGAACCAAATTCTGGCCATCTAGAAGAGCAGCAAGCATTCTCAATAACTGAGTCATCTCTCCAAACCTAATATTTGCTTCTTTGAATTGCATTTTGAATCAATAATTTCATGAGCACACATAAAACCATTTTCTTTTGAGAGGGATGTAACAATCTGTACCATCAGTGAACTCTGAACATATAGGCAAAAAAACACAGGAATGGAGAGTTGAGCCACTGCTCAGCAGTTAAGAGCACTCGATGCTCCTACAGAGAACCTGGGCTCAGTTTCCAGCACCCATATAGTGGCTCACAACCATTGGACCTTCAGTTCTAGGGCATCTGACATCCCCTTCTGACCTCTGTGAGCCTAGGCATGCATGTGGTACACATAAGTACAGGTAACAAAACAATCACACACATGAATAAAATAAATAAACCTTAATAAACCAAGTGGTAAAGGGCACCATGATTAAACATAGAAGACCCCAGTTGTCAGTTTTGGGTAAATTTACACTAGAGACTTTGGTTAAGACTTAAGCTCTCACACAGAAAGTAATCTATCAGTCTCTTACATAGAAATAAAAGAATCTTTCAGATTTCCAAGAAGTTGGGAGGAAGAGGCTTGAAGGAAGGCATCCCACAGTGGTGTGAGGGGCTAATCCTCACACAAGGAAGAGCTAGCAATATATAAGAAAGAAACACACTTCCACTTGGTCTTCCATCTCTACAAGGTCTTGTAAAGACTATCTCATGCTTTCTTTAAAGGTGTGCCTAGGCCAAGTACCACAACTTTTTCACTAACCTGAGGAGTGTTTGTGAGGTTAAGGAAAGTAAGAATCTTGACTTAAAAATAAATCTCCACAGTGAATTAAACAAACAAATAGAGATAAAGTGCAACAAAATTTGATTTTAATTCCTCCCTCCCCATTACTAATAAACCAAAGACCACACTTATTTTAGAATTTGATGTTGAATGAAGGCTGAGATCTACAAGTTAGAACGTACTGAAAAGGGGAAGTAAAGGATGGGCCCTGTACTCTTAATTTCCTAATGATTGCTGCTCAGTCTGGTGACAATCAACTGAAGTCATGCTTACAAAATTATCATTTTAAAATGAATTTACTCTTTGATATCCATAGTTTATGAGAGAAATAAATGGCTAGGAAGTAAAGTTTCATGTAATTTGATAAACGCATGTGGGTTTTCCAGCAAGCACCTATCCCCAGTTTACAAATTAAAAACGACTAGCAGATTTGATGATGCACCCCCACAAGATAACCCACCTGTTCAGTAGTTTCCCACGTCTACAAAGTAGTCTCGGAGACAGATAACATGCAGATTATCAGGTGAACCATATAAAGTTAAAATACGTCAAACATAAATAATGTAGTGTGGTTTAACATGATGAATATATGTGCATCAGCAACACTGGGCAGTCTTGGCACTGTGCATCAATAAAGCTTGTAAGAGAGTTCACAGTTCCATCTCACCATTAATTGCCTTTGTTATCCATGACTCATCATTCTTCCAGTTAGAAACAAAACAAAACAGAAAACCCCATCTTTGCACTCAACCTTGAAATTGTGATGCTGAAGAAATGCACTACACTCCTTGAATACCTGTTACAAGGACACAACGAGATGGTCTACAGAAACCCCTTCATTTATGCTCAAGCTGACACCAGAGTGAAACTAGGCAAATGCTTCACGATGTTGATGTGTTTCTAACCCATTAAAATGATTCCTATTCCACCTTAAGGAACCACTGATACTATGTATCTGACATGCCCAGCAAATTGTAAGTGACAGTTCTTATTCCACTGTTAAAAGACTCAAAAACCAAAGGAGGTCAGCAGTAGCCAAATAACCATCTATGCCCAGACTCTCAAGAAGTGTCCACATTGCTATCCAAAACAGCAGCACAGTGACCCTACAGGATGATTCTGACAAATACTAGATTGTCTGAGAAACTCTGTCAATCAGAGGTGCTAAAAAAATATACTACTCAAATTTTCCCAATGTTTCTTTTGCTTCATAGAAAAACTTTTACATGTCAGTTTCTATGTTAGGGGATTCAGATGTTTACTTCAACATTATGTTTTGGTTTATTCCTCATATGCCATGTTGAAAATAATTTGAATTAACATCCATTTAAAAAGGGGAGGGGATGTTTCTAATAGATACCAGAGAAATAAACTAATAGGTGGAGTCCCACAGACCCTCCCCCATATGCCCACATCTAGGCAATTACTGGTAAGCAAGCATACGCCCAAAGCATCATGCCTGTTTTAGTCAGGGTTTCTACTGTTCTGATAAAACTCTCAACCAACAGCAGCTTGTAGAGTAAAGGTTTTATTTCTTCTTATACTACCAGGAAACAGTACCTCACTGAGGGAAGTCAGAGCAGGAACTGAAGGTGGGATCTAGAGGCAGGAATTGAGCAGAGGCCATGGAGGAGTGCTGCTTATTGGCTTGCTCAATCTGCTTTCCTTACAACTCAGGACCACTTGCCAGGGGGTGGCAACTACCCCCCTTCCTCCATGGACTAGGCTCACTTGAGTCAACTATCATTCAGGAAAAAAAAGTACTACAGACTTGTCTATAGTAAATCTAATCTGAAGGAAACATTTTTCTCAATTGAGGCTTCTCTTCTCAAGTAACTCTAGTTGGTGTCAAGATGACAACACAACCCCCAGGACAATGCCAACACACTCAGAGAATCAAGGCTTTATGCAGATAATGTCACCCCTACTCTTTTCTATTAGTCTTGCCACATACGAAATTTAGAACAAAACTCAGGTCAGTACTTTAAGGTTTTTGGAGTGCAAAAGACTATGCAGATACAGGGTGAAGGTAAACATAAAATTTCCAAACTCTCTCTTCAGAGAGTTGTAAGTTGGCCTTTGAAAGCTCACTTTGGATGCATCTGTGTGGACCCTGGACTTTGGTCAGTAAGTGTATAACATTGTAGAGTCCTTCCCATGTAACTGCAGGCAAGCATGCCATGTATAGAGTTCCAGTTACTGTATAGAGTTCCAGTTACTCCAGGACTCCATTGCCTGTATCTAGTGTCTTGGAGTCTGAGATCCAAACTGTGCCTTCCATAAAAACTCCACCTTATCAAGAATTTCCAGTGTGATCATTAAGTGGGCCAAACTAGCCAAGGTAGAAGCACAAACCTTACAGAGAAGATGCAGCATGTACAAGAGACTCTGTGTGAAGGACATAAATAATGTGAGGCACTGCAAATGATTAGAACGTTAATTAAGGTTATTGCTTGGCAGCTGCATAATTTCTATGAGCCCTAAACCTGGCTGTCCCACAGACTCCATGTTACCCAACAAACACTTCCTGAGGTGCCCGGGCTTCAGCCCAAGTGGGAATGTGCTCCTTTTCCTCTCTGCTATTTTCAGAACAGGTTCTACAATAAAACTCAATGGGGGAGGGGGTGAGTGGTGAGGGAGGGAAAGGAAGGCAGGGGAAGAGGAAGGCAAGACTGGCCTTAATTAACAGGCACAATCTATGGCCATGACCAAAGCCAAAGAAAACACTTTCTAACTCACACTTATAAATTAATGAGGGCTGCAAATCAATTTTTAAAAGCTTTATAAAACATTTAAGGAAGACTGTACTCTTCCTGGATTTTCAGCAAGAATGAATCAAATCTGTGCAGCTTCTCAACTTACACAAAGTCACAATTTCATTTATATCCTTGGAGAGAACCTTTAGTCTAAGTACTAAGCTATGTGCTAGCAGTAAGATGTAAAGATATATACATCTTTTTACAGAGCAAATATCAGTGTTCTGAAACTTTAATAGGCAAACAGTCTAGGGCCATTAATTACAGATGCTGATCCCATAGGTCAGAGTGGGCCTGATATTCAAGA